TAAAACGGAGGAAGTAGCGCTATTAGCTAATTTAATAGATTGGGAGGTAGAAAGAGGGACAAGGAAACAAAAAAGTCTATAGACCCAGTCATGTGGTTTGAGGCTCTAGACTCTATAACCCAAGACTTGAAAGATGCAAGACATGCTACACCTGATTTAGCAAGAATAGCAATGTTACCAAAAAAAGAAAACATGTGAAGTTTTACATGATCATCACTTGTGATGGATATCAATTCCTCCTTCCCAATACTCGAAGCAAAAGGGTCATCACCAATAGTACCACGATGCTCTCCAACTGAAGCATGATTGGCTCATGTAGAAAATGGGCCATGTAAATCATAGCAGAAATTCATCATGTCCTTGATGCCTATAATGGCTATACTTGTGCATTGCACACATCCACCCCCACCTCTGGCTCCACGTCCAACAGCCCTCATAGCCCCTCTACCACAAATTCCTCTACCAACATCATCCCCTCTAGTAGCAAGCTTAGGCAGACCTCTCTAACATGAGTGTGTTCTCATTATGTGGATTGGAATCTCTTCTGATGCAAGAAAACCTTTCTAAGAGGGATAGAATGACTCTACCCAAAATTTGAGCACACACTAGCTCAAACTCAGTTCTCAACCCAAACTCTTTTACACTCTTATCCTCAAACTCTTTTACACTCTTATCCTCAAACTCTTTTACACTCTTATCGCCTTGTTGAAGAGTAAAATATTCCTGATATAACTGGTAAATCCTTGTCACATTGTCCTGTCCTGAATAAAGTTGTTTGTAAGATCCCAGAACTCCTTGGTAGTGTTCAAAAACATAAGGTTAACACTAATGTGATTCTCCATACTTTTTTTTATCAGTGTGATTCTCCATACCATTCCAAAGCCACGTCGTAATCAGTTTTCTTTCACCCAATCATTATATCCAACAATTCCACTTTTTGGCTTATCCTCCTTAATATATTTTAATTTACCATTGGCAATAAAAAACACCTCAACTGACTTCAACCACGGTACATAGTTAAGACCATTAAGCTTAACAAAGGTCATTTGAACAGCCATATAATCTTGTTGTAACACCACAGCAGATTTAACCTCACCATTTGATGAAGCCATAATGCTGAAAACTCTCTGATTGCAAACCAAGGACAAAACTACCACTCAACAGTTACTAATACCACACTACCAAAGGCTGACAACACACTGTAATAAACCACCAGATCATCACAAACCAAGTGGGAATTCATTCGGCCAACCTTTTAAATATGTTGTCCCTCTTCAAGTTGCTGAAAGGAGGCTTCTTAGCAACCTACCGAAAAACAATCTTTGATCCCTTCCTTCGATTCTCCAATGAATGAGAAACTTCTCTCGATGCAAGGGGCTATTAGGCGATCAAGAGGAACCCAGGCCAATCACAGGTGCTCTGATACCATGTGATCTACCTTAAAAACAAGAGAAAATAGAAAGAAAAATAGAGAAACAGGTGTAGATGAAAACTAAACAGAAAGTAGAAGAGAAGAGAAAAAAGAAAAAAGAAAAAAGAAGAGAAGAGAAAAATCAAAAAAAAAAAGAGAAAAGAAAATAGGGCTGTGGCAAAGAGAGATCCAAAAATAACTCCCTCTAACTGCCACCCTTCTTCTATTAATGTTATATTGCTGAGTACAACGACAGAACTCCCCCAGCTTAAGTAACCAAGCAAGAGAGAAGCAAAAAGCTTAACCAAAAAGACTCTTATACCCTGCTGCCAATACACATATATATAACTAATAACCTCTTACAATCTTTAAGGGAAAAAAAATGTATTGCCGCTGATGAAGAGGAGGTGGTTGATTATAAGGTGCAGCACTAGGTAACTCGTTACCCAAGTGATGGATTTCAAGGTGCTAGTGACCAATCTTTAGGTCTGTTCTTCTTGGGGAGATGCACTGTTGAATAAACATTCCGGATATTGGAAGAAGAAGAAGAAGAAGGAGATAAAAGGGATATAGGAGGTCATGGCAAATCAAAGTGGTTAGAAGGCTGAGCTCATGTTTAGTAGCAGGGAACCGGTCCTGGTTTGCAAGGAAGTGCATAATATATTTGCTAGAGATGTGGCAGTGTCAATCAAAACAAGGTTCATGGATAATTGAAAGAGTTTATGTGATATATCAGGTTCTAACTCTGTCATTGACAAGGTCTATATTTAGTTTGAATGAACTTGAAGTTCCGAAGCCCACTGCTCCTTTTTATTTAATGTATTTTCTTTATGCTATCAGAAGAAAATTAGTGAGGTTGTAATAGAGATGCAAGACTTGCTAGTGAAACTCTGTTGAATAATCCTCCCTCCCTGCATTTGTTCCAATCTGGAAAATTAATAACTACTATGTTTACAAGTCAAGCCTTTACTCATGAACCTGCTGACACCAGCAAAACTCTAGAAGAGAGGATGAAATTTTACCTGTTAAAATTGTGTATACTTTAGCAGTTTTATTGCTGGCCCTGAATAAACATTTACCAATAACCATTCCCTATCTAGTAATGTGCAAGTTGACTATTGAGGTTTTATATGATCGGTTGGCTTCATAGGATTCAAATAATCCAATCTCCATGACCACAAAGATTTAACTCATTCAAAGGACCATTAAACAACATTAGCTACATGTTGATCATGGTGATTCAGTGACAGCAGAATTGTTGGCCTTACTCCAAGGTGTAAAGCTTGCAAAGCAGTTTGGGTTCCAACAGGAGGTGGAAGGGGACTCTCAGGTGGTCATTTCATGGACAAGAAGTAACACTCAAACCCCTTGGATTATATAGACACACCTTTTGGGAGATTGAAAGTATAACAAGGGAGCTAACTGTCAACTTTAAATGAATGAGGAGAACTGCTAATGGGATGGCAGATACTCTAGCTAATCAAGGGGATTTTATACATCAATTGCTTTGGCCAAAATTGTAATTTTTTATCAGCAACACAGAAAAGATTTCACTAATAAGAAAATTCAAGGTTACAACAAGAAGTTGTGGGAAAAAAAAACAGCTTTAGAAAGCTGCCACAATCCAAATTTACAATTGAGCCCAAAACAGATGTTTTCTTTGTACCCCTTGCTTAGCTAAGCTGTCTACCGAGCTGTTGGCAGTTCTCCTCACCCATCTCACTCGGATTGACATGTCCTTAGCCATTTAAATCTCCTCAAATGCCATGTCACCCTGTCCCCCTTCAGCAGACATTTTACCACAGTTTTCAAGTCTCCCCCAATGATCAGTTTATTAATACCCAACTCTTTTGCCTTTTCAACCCCATATACAGCAGCCAAAAAACTCTGACCTTGCCACATCACATTGTTCCACATGACTGGAGTATAAAGCAACGTTATTTCGACCTTCATCCCTAATGGCCCCCCTATGCCTGAGGGGCCCAGAACCCCCATTAAAGTTCAGCTTGTTCCAGCCATCTATTGGGGGTGACCACGTCTCAACAGATTTCTGTCTTGTAGATGAAGAGGCAGCAATAACACCCCAAGCCGTGAAAAAAAAGTCTTCAACCTTAAAATCTAAAAACAGCTTCATGCTTTTTGCCCAGTGTGAGACTCTCAAAGTTATTGTTTCTACCAAGGCTTCCTTGTTTCTTTCTCATTATTCAAATATTCTTACATTTCTTTCCTCCTAAATAGTCTGTAGTGCTGCCCTAGTACACCCCCACGAGATCCTACCCCTCCTTTTAGTGCAGCTGATGCCAATAGGGCTAAACAATCCATCCAACTGTCAGGAGAAGACCACCTGCAACCAAAGAGGGAAGCAAACCAATTCCAAATAAAGCTAACAAAAGGACAAAAGATTAGAAGATGAAATGCAGTCTCACCATTCAACTTACACAGGACAAACCAGTTAGGGGACAAACACCAATTTGGTCTTTTTCTTTGAAGTAGATCATAGGTATTAATACAACCATGAAACATTTCCTAACAGAAGGCACTGATTTTAGGGGGAACGGGAGAATACCAAATTTCCTTAACTACGAAGGAAGGAGAAGAGGAGGTGACCACCAAGGAATGTAAGAAGGATTTACAAGAAAACAGCCCATCAGAATTAGGGCCCCAAACCCTAGAATCCGATCCACCTTCTCCCAAGAACACTGAATTAGCATGCCTAACAACTCAGACACACTAGGAAGTTCATATTCTCTAAGGTTCATGTCAAAGCCAAAATTCCAGTTCAGCCCTGAAGGATGAGGGGGCTGACTTGGAAATTTAGAAATAGGCCTACCCTTGAACTTGGAAAGATCAAAAATAAAAGGGAATCTCTTACCTAGAGGGGTATCCCCAATCCACACATCCTCCCAAAATCTAATTTTCTAACCAGAAGCCAAGACATACCTGATATGATTTAGAAAGGTAGGAAGAATTTCATGAATGGTCTTCCAGGGGCAGCCAAGGTAGCTCTACGGAGACATCCAGCATCCCATCCATTGCTTGACATGCCATGAATTCTTGCAACAACCTTGTGTCATAATTTCTCATTTTCATTGGGAAATCTCCACAACCATTTGTTGAGCAAAGCCTGAATCTTCAACTTAACATTACCAATTCCCAATCCCCCCTTATGCCTTCAATTTCACCACCCTTTCCCATCTAACCAAATGATCCTTCTTTTTTTCCCAGCTCCCAAAGAAAATCCCTCATGATTTTTTCAATTTTCCTCACTATCTCTTGTAGCATCCTAAACACTAACACCTATTACAGTGGAAGATTTGCAAATGTAGACTTAATAAGAGTTATTCTACCCCCATTGAGATGTAGTTCCTTTTCCACCCAGCTAAGCACTTCTCAACCCTTTCCACCACTAGAGACCAAAAACTAGCAGTGTTTTTTTTCCACTTTGATGTACCCTTAAAATTTTCCTTTTGCTGGTCAATTTTTAATAGGAAAAAATAAATAAAAAGGAGATAGACTGTGATACAACTCACATTTTCAATCGCTAAGTCAATTTATTTCAAAAGAGACGTACGAATGTCGAGATGGTTACCTGATCATAACCTTCAGCATCTGAGTTTATCACGCATTGCATGTTGGAAAGGCATGAGCCATCATTGACCTAAATGATCAAAATCCACAAAGCAAGTAATGATTAAAACTTAAAACTTAAAAGTAAAATCAGATACGGATTAAATCGAAAATATAAAACATAAACCAACTAACGCCACCCACTATATATCCACTCTCCGGTTACAAACACCCGATACCATGCTACGGAAGCAAAAAGGCCATATTACTCACTGAAAAACACGCTACTTTGTCAATATCAATAAGGTTTCCCAGAAATAAAGAACGGATTTTGATAATATGAGAAGAGACTCCCAATAATTACGAAATAACAGTAATGTCCAAACGACTGAACAAGATGATGGTTTCAACCTCCATAAATGTAATGCTGCGTTGCACACGAAGTGTTCGAACCCAACCCTTTACAACAAGCGTCTGCCCCACTCGATCCAATCCTTCATCAGGCCCTCCCTTTATGTCAGCAATCCTCAACCGTTTTCTAAACTCCCGAACCTTTTGGCCAGTTCCCACATCCGGCTTCTCGAGAAACTCCTTCTTTGCCTTTTCGACTGCTTCCTCGGAGGAGATAGCTCCAACAATTGCACTGGAGAAACACCTCCTGTTGAACGCCGGAGAATCGCGCCGGAGATGGCGAACGCCAGGGTAACAGTGAAGAAATGGCGGGAAAGTAGGAGCTTTGTTAGTTAGGGTTCTGAATCCCGTTAGGACATTTCTGCCGGTGGTTATGTTATTGAGAAAGGAGATGAAACGAGCGGCTGACTGAGGTCTAAGTCGAGCAGAAGAAGCTGGAGACAGAGCAACTGCCATTTCCTCCTATCCTGTAAACCTGTACAGCCGTTTAGTCACTCGTGACCACTACTCCCAGTCCTGGTTCAGCTCGATATCCCTTTGTCTTTGAGCCTGCCTTTGAGAAAAGTAGGTAAATATCCCGTGAATATGGTCTATTCAATTAGGTAGTGCCGCTAATTTCATCAATCCGCTATGATTGCACCAAATGTCCAGTTGATTTGATATAGTTGTACAGGTTTAGGGTTTCCTTTTATCTAACATACCCTCTATGCACTTTTTAATCAACACCTCGTACTACCAAAAGGTTAGTGACAATAACACGGGCTCAGCTTGGAAGGAGTATATAATGCATTTTTGGTTCATACAAATGTAATGTTGGATTAGTTTTGTATTGATAGATTTATTTTCTTATCAAACAAGTTTTAGTTGTAATGAAGCAAACATGAATTCTAATAAAACAATATACATTTTTAACAAAAGCCAATTTCGAATGCAAATTTACTTATTTTTTTAATCAAAAATTATATATTGTTTTTTTATGTAAACATGTCTTAGAAATTGTGTTTTTTATCATTGTCGATGCACAAATGTATTTTTGCCAAACACTAACAAAACTGAACTGGAGTATATATTTACACTAAGATGGCATTTACACTTTATTTGTAATGTTTCCAAAAAATATGCAAAATGTTGGATCCATGCATAAATGCATTATGGTTCAAGTTTGGACTCGTATGGTTTAAACAAAAATAAATAAATAAATAAACAAAATACATAAATCATCGACATAGGATGGTAATATATCAAATTTTACTTTGATTAAAAAATAAAAACATTATTTCGATTTTTATGAAGCAACATTTTACTCCCATTTACCATTGAAGTAACAAAGAAATTGATTTGCTTCCGTCCTCCACGACTCAACACCGGAAAGGTGATAATTGATACTTCTAATAACACATTTCATGTCATCGATGACCTCTAATCGACGTGTTTCTTCTTCAACAAACCCCTTAGAAATTGACAAGTTCAATTTAAATATGTTTCACCACTCCTAATGCGGTGTGTTTCTTCTTCTTCTTCATCAAACCCCTTAGACATCAATGGCTTCAAATTTACCACTTGTAGTGCAAATCGATGTATTTCTTCTCCAACAAACCCCTAAAACATCAATGGCTTGTGATCTTAGAAGATTTCGACACAACTCATCGGTCATTGTGATGCTTATTCCTCAACAAAACCCCAGGGCATCAGCAGCTTCTAATTGTAGGAGATTCCAACTAATACAATAGTCAATCTTCCAATTTGCAACCCATATCTACTCAATTGATGTGTTTCTTCTCCATCATAAACACCAAAGGCATCAATAACTCCTAATCTCAAGAGATCTACTTGAGTTTCTTTTATTTGTGTAATACGACACTTTTGATATTTATTTGGTTTAGATATATGTGTCACAAATGCTGTTTTGTTTTTATTTTTTATTTGTTGTTACAAAATCACATACCTTGTCAGAAGCAGTTAAGGACCCTACATTTTGTCATTTCATTTGCCAACCATAGTATCTATCTATTCAATTTGGATTTGCATCATTCAATCTCCAAACGCCAAAAAAAAGTGCATGCATTTATTTACTCTCTTGTGCCAAATGAGATGAGAACAAACTATAAATGTAAAAGCAAACTGCTTTGCATTTTAGGAACCTAGTAAATGTGAATTTACAATTTGCAAATTTGTATTTACGTCACTTCAAACGAAACCTTAACATTATGTTCGGTTTGAAGGAAAATAGAGGGAAAGGAAGGGAAAAGTAAGGAAACCTTTACAAACCTTGTATAGGTTATCCTGCTTTTTCCTTCTTTTTCCCTATCTTTTACTTCAAACCAAACATAGTCTCTGTGTTTTGTATTATTTTGTATAGTTGTATCTATTTGCATTGCACATATTTGTATTTGTACTCTTTTCAAACTAAGTCTTAAATTTCATTTGTTATAAATACTCCATCTGTGAAGATAAATGTTGATGGGGTTGGGTATGCATTCAGTTAGGTATTACCATTAGAGATGAAGGCGGGTGCTTCTTATTTAGAAGAGTTGCTACAACAAAATGCTTATAGGCTTTAGCAAAGGAATTTGCCTTGTTCAAGCTTTGGACTCAAATCATGTTTGCATTGAGAATGATTCTCAATTTATTTTTGTATAGTTGAAGTCACCTTGGAGTATCAGATCAACTATTCTATATTGCAAATATTTGTTGTTGCAATTTCACTCCCATGAGCTCCCCTATGCATTTCGAACTTGTAATCAAGCAACACATACACTTGTTCAGTATGTTGTATCTCTATCTTACTTGATTTCTTGCAAGATTTTAAAAAGCTAAAGGTGGAGGCGAGGCGGTTGGGTCTCATAGGGGTGAGGCGTAAGCTTAAGGGAGTTTTAAAGTGTAAGCCTTAAGCAAAAAGGAAAAGAAAAAACATAAAATTAATAAATTATATGTATTGTTTGATATATTAAAAATTGATTCATGGTTCAAATTATCGGTATGCCCCAATATGCTAAAAGGGGTGTGTTGAGTACACACCTTGAATCATGCACTTTTTTTCTTCGCAAAGTTAGTTTTATGTTATTTAATTATTAAAAAAAAAAGAGTTTTAGTACACCCCAAATATACAATAAGACACAATATGGTATACAACGATATGAGGCATATCGTTTCAATACTTTGAAGGGTGAACCTTGCATGGGTTAGAATCTTACTAGGGGTGCAACTTAGGTGGGCCCAACCCGAGCCCAAACCGGTCCAACCAAAATTTTACATAGAGTGGGCTTGGATTTTTTGTCTTCGGGCTGGGCCGGGACTTAGCCCTTAGGTAGTTAGGTTGCCTGATCCCAACCCAACTATACACATTTATACATCCATATGTAAATTTTGCATACATATCTACATACATACTTAAATATATGTATACATATTTGCATAAACATCCATGTATATATGCATAATTTTAGAGTGGGTTTATTGACCAACCTGAGCTCGAACCCAACCCAAGTGCATCATATTACAATGTGTGTCAGTCTCAAGTTGGGAAAATCGGCCTTGACCACGGACTCGGTTTGGGCTTGTGCCTTAAGCACAAATTTGAGGGTCTGGCCCTACCTGTCCGACTTACATTCCTAAATCTTACCACGGTGTTTTTTCCCTACAATCTAAACACTAAAATAACAAATATATAAGTCAAACTTTTTTCAATTCAGGGATATGGGCCAATCGTGTTTCTAACTCTACCCTCATTGTTCGAAAATTGACTAAGTGTACCCTTACTGTTTCTGACAATTGACTAAGTGTACCCCTAACTGTTAAATATGGACAGAAAAGGTAAAAATGCCCGTTATAACCCTATGTGAAATTACATTATTATCCATGTTTTTATCTTAACTCAATCCCTCCCAGTTAGGTTGCCATCGCCATCGTCACCGACAACAGTCACTAACGCAGAGGTCTGACGAAAGCTTATTCCAACCAACGACGAATGACGCTGGAACCATCACGAACTTTCGTCGGAGGTCAGTGAGTTTTCTTCGTTCAAAGTCGTTTCTTCCTCTGTATCTCATATCTCTCTCTGAAATGTCCCAGATCTACAGATGGGTGTGACGGAGGAAGAAGAAAGTAGGAGAAATCTTATCATTTTTTAAAGTCACAAGTCCCATATCTACAGATCTGGGAGGGGGATAGAGGAAGAAGAAAATAGGGATATCAACTCCAGCCGACGACGAACGACACTGGAACCATGGACTTCCGCCGAAGGTCGGTGATTGGACGCGATCTGATTTTCTAGGAGTTCCGCATCCATGGGGGCACCCGGCTAGAAATTGAACATCTCAGACAACATCCCGCCCGTCTCATAGCTCGATATCCCATCGGACTCTTCCGCTTTTATGCCCATTAAAGGCGGCAGTGGTTCGAACCCTTGCACCCTTAATTTATCCCTCCAGCTTTGCTAGGCGATATGTTGCGCTTGTTGTGCCATCGTCGATCTATCGAAACCATTTGAAAAACCAAAGATCCCCTGATGGAAGCTTTGAAACATAGAATTGGGAGGTGATTCTTCAAGTTAACACAAGAGAGGCGTTGGCGGTGGTGTTACTACTCCCATATCAGTGTGTTCTTCATCATCTCTTTCTTCTTCGCCCCACCAGTACCGCTTTCTCCGTTCTCTTTGGGGGGGAGGGGGAACGGAGGAAGAAGAAAATAGGGAGATCAACTCCGACCAACGACGAACGGCATTGGAACCACCACGACAGTAGCCATGGCTACCACCTTGGGCTCTTCTTTACTATATTCCTTAGATTTCTTCTTCTTGTTGGTGTTATTATTGTTGATTCCTTCAACCAATGAAGTCTCTTGTATTTTCGATTTCGCTATTCAAACTTGCCAGAAATCTCACCAGAACCTGCAACTTCACTAGCATTTTCTGGCAAGATCTCATAGAAGCTCTTTGGATTGTAGGGGTTGTCGGTCCAAAGGAAAGGGATGAGGGTAATATTGGGTTTTAAAATTTTTAAAAGTCACATAGTGTCACGTGTATACAAATTTTAACAGAGGCTAGTGGTAGGGGTAGAGCTAGTCAATTGTTAGAAACATTAAGGGTACATAGTCAAATTTGAAACAGCAAGGGTAGAGTTAGTCAATTAGCTAAACCACAAGGGTAGTTTAAGAAATTTACCCTATAAACAATAAAGCAAATTATTTTTTTCTTAAACAACCATATGCATTGATCTATTCAATACATTAATAAATACGAAAAAAAATGCATCATTTTATTGTCTTAAATTTATGTTTTAATTAAGGCAATGCCTTGAAAATTTGAAGGCCAAAGGCCTAGGCCTTGTTGGTGGAGTCTATGGTTATTGAGACCATGCCTTTTTCTTAGCCTCGCCTCAAAAGCCTTTTTTCTGGCAATCAACGGTGACCTATGAGATGTAATCTCTAGTGCTGAATTCTTTTTAGCCTCAAGGTTTAAAATTAAAAACCGATATAGGATACGCATGGAAATGGGATGTTTCATCTTTTTTCATACGTATTGGACCCATATCGGGGGGTGTATCAGGGCGTATCAACGAAAAAGATATGACAAAAAACTTAAAAAAAGGGGG